AATAGAGTCAGACCATAATTTGGAGTCCTGCACACGGGGGGGGGGGGGGGGGAGGGTCTTTTTAAATTTTAAACTTTAAAGTTTAAAGGATCAAAAAAAAAAAAAAAAGTTAGCTCAACAAAGTTAAGTGCACGGACAGAACAAGCATGACATAGACTCTTGGACACAGGCAAGACAGGAAAACGTGCACAGACCCGGAAATCTCAGCAAGTCAGACCAACAGACAGCAATACTCAGAAAAGTGCAGGGATGTCAACAGAATGCAGCTGTGCCGATCTTGCAGTAGGAAGCCATGGAGATGGTAAGTCTCATTTCTATTACTGTTATTTTGGGGGTCGCCCTGGAAAGAAGGGTTAAGAATGCAGGGATGAGAAGAATAGGTGAACTCCCTGCCTTACATTGACTGATAAGGTGATGCTGCCCTCGAGTCCTTCAGTGGATAATTTTGCATCATTTTGCGCAAAGAAAGCAACTCCCGCCTGTTGAGGACCACCATCTCACATGCACAGCCATATGAAAGGGAGAAAGCACAGGGAGAGATGGACATGCACCGAGAAAGACATAAGTGAAGACCACGGGGAGGAAGAAAATTGCGCAGAGAGATAAGGGGGAAGACAAGGAGAAGACAGACACCGAAATACACACACACACACAGCAGCAAGGGGAAACAGACACACACACACACATACACATGCACAGTAGGGAGGGGGAGAGTCAGGGGTAGAGTGTATAGATGATACAATGGGTGGCTTGGCTTTTATGATACAATGCAACTTGGTATGATATAAAGTTATAACCCCCCTCTATCTATTTCTATATCCTTTGCTAACCCTGCAAAACCAGCAAGACCCTTTTCCCAAAAGTAACATCTTCAAGGGGAGACATTCCTTGGTCAATCTAGTGTTTTGGTAACCTTTACCCTAATCCTCCCAGAGGATCTGCTTGTTCGTAGCAAATCGCTGTATAAGCAGTGTACTCCTTTCTCCCAAGGCCCGGCCACAACTAACTCTGGGGGATGTTATAAGCTGATTGCATCCATACAATGGCATACATATGCATTGCACCCATGCACTGTGGTGGGGTGCAAAAGACCAGGTGCACCGCACCCAAAAAAAAAAAAAAACCGTTTTCATTTTTTTAATAAATTCACAGGATACCAGT